TTTCCAGGCAAGAATACTGGGGTGGATTGCCATTTCCTCTTCCATGACCCAGGGATCTTCATGACCCATGAATCTAATCCGCATCTCCTGCATTGCAAGTGGATTCTTTACCACTGAGCCACCAGGGAAGCCTGGAGAGATCGATACATCTGGGAAAAAAATATCTTGTCTGACTCTCCCTAAAGGCTAGTTTCAAGCAGACCGCTGAGCTGTTTTATCTGTCTGCCAGTCTGGGATGATGACCTCTTTTCAAGGTATTTAAAAGAGCAGCATAAGTGTCATATCTCCTCTTCACTGCTGTTTCAATCAGGCTGCTATCAGGAGTTAGACTTCATCCCAGATGGCTGGAATTCAGGAACCTTAGCAGAGTGGTTACTTGCAGGTGAATGGGCCGGTTTAGAAGAATTGAGGCAGGCAGATGCTAGCAACCACGGGAAATAGTTGCTACTCAGCTTTCCTAGTGGCTCAGTGGCGAAGACTCCACCTGCCAGTGCAGGAGACTTAGGAGACATGGGTTCGATCCCTGGGTTGGGGAAGAGCCCCTGGAGGAAGTGAAAAGAAAGTGTGAAGGTGTTAGTCACTCAGTCGTGTCTGACTCTGCAACCCCATGGGCTGTAGCCCGCCAGACTCCTCTGTCCATAAGATTTCCCAGGCAAGAATACTGGAGTGGGCTGCCATTCCCTTCTCCAGGACATCTTCATGACCTAGGGGTGGAACCTGGATATCCTGCGTTGCAGGTGGATTCTTTATCATCTGAGCCAACAGGGAAGCCCTCCTCTGGAGAAGGAAATGGAATCCACTTCAGTATTCTTGCCTGGAAAATCCCATGGGCAGAGGAGCCTGGCAGGCTACAGTCCACAGGGTTGCAAAGAGTTGGATGCTTCTGAGCACATATAGAAAGCTGAAAGATATCCAGTATAATTGTTCTTTACCATCAACCAAAGATTTTCCCCCATTTTCTTAAGTTTCCCATCTGCTTCCCATCAGATACTTTTATTTTTTTTTAACAATGCAACATCTTGACTTCTTGTTAATTCATTAAGTGAAAGTATTTTTGGTTGTAATGTATGAGTATGGGGATTCACCTGAGAAATAGTTGATCAAATTTTTTCACATGAACAAATTGGACTTGGGGAATTTCTAAATGACATGAAAAAATTTTTTACGTGAGTTTGTGTTCTTTGTCATCAGAAAATGTAATTCTTGCAGAATGCATTATTGGTACCATAATATTTAGCACATGTTATTGTCAACTGCATACATGTAATTGAAGGTTTTTCAAAGTGGGCATTTTAATGTAATCTCTGATCCTAGAGATTTCTTGACACTGTAACTTTGATGTGGCTCCTTTGATTGAAGTATGCTTTTATCAGTAGGATTACTACTTTTATTAAAATTATTGTTGGGGTTCAGTTGCCAAGTCACGTCCAACTCTTTGCAACCCCATGGACTACAGCACACCATACTTCCCTGTCCTTCAGCATCTCCCATAGTTTGCTGAAACTCATGTCCCTAGAGTTGGTGATGCCATCCAACCACCTTATCCTCTATTGTCCCCTTCTCCTCTCACCCTCAATCTTTTCCAGCATCGGGGTCTTTTCTAGTGAGTCAGTTCTTTGCATCAGGTGGCCAAAGTATTGGAGCTTCAGCCTCAGTCTCAGGAGCTTCAGTCTCAGGAGCCTCAGTCTCAGGAGCTTCAGTCCTTCCAATGAATATTCATGGTTGATTTCCTTTAGGATTGAATGTGTAAGCTATTTTGTTTTATCCTATACCCAGGTAACATACTCTTGCTGAATTCCACTGTCAGGGATGTGTGGTAAATTGAGGGTGCGGGATGGGATGAGAAATGGGTGAGTTTCCAATATGCAGTGGCCATATTAAAAATAATCCATGCCATTGAAATGGCAGTGGTAAAGTGGCTAGATAAAAAATAAAAACAGAAATGGTCTGCTTGTTTGCACATCTATTCTCTACCCTAAATTGTGAGCAGTTCAGCAGAAACTGAGTTTGGGATCAGCATACAGAAGGATTAACTGCTATATGACTAATTTTCTATATTGCCACTCAGTTTAGCAGTTTGGATTGAGGAAAGGGAAACTACGTGGGTCTGTAGCATTTGATAAACTAGAGGTCCATGAAGAACTATGGTAATGACTGTGAGTGCTGTGTGTGGTGACAAGTGTGCTCCAGCCAGTAACAATGAGGGGATGGTGGACATGGTGGAGTGGTTGGTGGATAGTGCTGGTGAAGGAGTTGTGGAGATAGATACGGGAATGATGATGTTGGTGGCAGAGCTGGCAACATCGGTGGTAGAACTGACGATGCTTATGGTGGTAGAAGACGTAATGAAAGTTGAAGAGGTGAAGATAGTGAGTTGGCCTCACTTCTAATAGAGCTGCTATTAGAAGTGAGGTTGTTGATGGGGATAGGGCAAGTGTTAGTAATGATACTGGTAATTCCATAAATGGTGGTAGAGCTTAGAAATCTTGAAGCTTTATGAAGTGATGTGATATCACATGACATTTAAATTGTTCTGTGTGTCTTTGGCTGGATACAAATAAGGAAGCATGGTAAATTTACTTGCAGAGAGATTTGCCATACTGAGCATTCTCATTGCAGATGCTCTTTAAGTTTTTCCTTAATTACTGATACTTGTACCATGCTGTGCCAAAAAGCAACACTCTTGCCAGTTTCAACACTGTGCATAAGTTCTTCTAATAAATATTATTCAGCCCCAATTATTGGATATTTTTAGAGTAAACCTGGCTTCCCCTATTCAATGCAGTGCTCTTCAGAGTTGATTTTTATCCGGAAAGTGATGCTATTTAGTCAGGGATTATCTTTTATCTCTGTTTGCAAAACAGCTGGAAGTGTAGCTACTGAGATTTGATGTTTGTCTTCCTGCACTTGACTGCCAAGCAAAATCATTTCATTTTAATCGACAGAATTTACCTTTGTAAATTAGCATGTGCATATACCATTGAAAGATTGAAACTACAAGTTTGACCTTCTAGTAGGTATAATACATGATCTTTTTTTTTTTTTTTTTGGATAGATAGAGTGTTCTTTGTCTTTCTCATGGTATGTTTGAAATTAAACAAAAATGTCCGTAGTGAATTTTCCCTTTTCATTGTTTAAAGTAAACCTCCTAAAAAAAAAAAAAGTAAACCTCCTTCTCTCTGCCTGGCCACAGGTGACTTATTCTTCCAACTGGGAGACCACATTTGATTCTAGAGACCAGTATGAACCTGCTCAACACATTTTCAGCTTAAACAACTGAGAATTTTTCTTATTTGATGTATTTAAGAGTATCCACGGTTTATGGTTACTGAATATTTGCTATGCAGCTGGCACTTTTCATGGCTATCTCATGATATGTTCTAATACATTCACATTTTATGGATAAGAAAAGTGGGGCTTTGGGAGCCACACTTATACTTGGCAGAGCCAGGATTTGGACCCAGCTGCTTACTGGTACCCATGCTCTTAACCGTTATGATACATTTCCTGTAGATTTCCACCAATGTGGAATTTAGTTCAACTTTCCTTTTCTACTTGAAAAACCAAGTAGATTTACTTTTTTTTTTAAAAACGTCTGGGTTTTTTGGAGAAGAATAAAGATTGCCCTCCAGGAGAAAGGGAACCATATGGAAATTATCCATTTTATTCTTGACTTAGAAAATGTTTGTTTAAATAATGGGATCGGACTTGGAGTTAGAAATCTGTAAGGTTAGTTACACACTCTACAATCTACCAGCCCCGAGATCACAATTTAGTCTCTTAATCCGCAGAATTTGGGACATTAGAGGCTCCTTTCCCTCATTTGCCAAAGAGAGAAATAATCTGCCCTATTCATCTTAGACAGTAACAACTTTGTAAAGATTGAACTCAAAGTAACTTGACTGGACCCCTGCAGTGATGTCCTAATCAATTTCCCTTCTTCTGATCTCTACCTTGCAAAGTTCTTCTCCATGATAGTTTCCCTAAAGTGTCCCGTTAACCATGGCTCTTGTCTCATCAGAAACCTTCTTTATGTAACCATTAACTGTAGGATAAAATTAAAGTGCTTAACTTGATATTCAAGTTCTTTTGCATCTAGTCCCAGCTTAGCCTTCCAATCACACCTTTCACATTCTCCTTTAAAGAACCTATATGCTACTTTATTTTTTTTTTTTTGAAATTTTGAGATTTTTCATTTGAAGGTAAATCTTAATGCTATTAAATTCACAAATATGCTAATTTAAATACCCAATTCTATTATCTAAAACACACATTGCAAACATACAAATATCTATTCTCTCCACATGTCAGAGCCATTCATTTCATGGTTTGGAAATGGGGAGAATAGATTCCCCTTAAACTGCAAGTCAGCAGGTGTTTCTTTACAGTTAACTTTAGCAAAATTCATACAAAATAGTAATTAACAATGATCTTCTTTACTTGTTAACTCACAAGGAAACACCTTCAAAACTGCATTTTGTTAAAGTTTCTGTACTAAAATGTAGAAAAACTGAACTACACAAATATTGAAAAGTTAAAAATTCCTTAATTTTTTATTCCTGGTACCACTACCACAATTTACAGGGCAATATACCTGATGTAATGAAAAGAAAAAGACAAAGCTACAACAGATAAAAGACCTCAGGAATGTACATCTAATTGACACTACATTGCATTAATCAATAGCTGCACTTTCTGCAAACTGTGGCTATGACAGTCCTGAACAAGAAGGGTTTCCTGTTGAAGCTGCAGTAACTTTTCTGACTGTGGATCATCGTTCCTCCTGTGGCAGATTTTTACAGTTCCTCTAACGCATTTGGGACGACTGTCTCAGAGTAACCTGCAGCTTTCCTGACAACTCCTCGCTCTCTCTCCTGCTAAGAACTGTAGCCCTTTTCTTCTGAGTTTTTAGAACCTTCTGCTACCATATCCACCACTTCCACCACCAGATCCATAACCACCACCATAGGGACTGCCCGAGCTGCTTCCACCAAAACTACCCCCCTTTCATGGGTCCATAATTTGATTGCTGTTGTCCACTATAATTTCCAAAGTCATTATAGTTTCCACCACCACCATAGTTACCACCTCCAAAATTTCCTCCTTCATTGTAACCATCATATCCTCCACCACCGCCACCATATCCGCCACCTTGGTTTCCATATCCTGGTCCACCACCACCGTAACCTCCTCTGCTACTATAACCAGGACCACCGCCATAGTTGCCACCATCACCTCCAAATCCATTGTATCCACCATCACCTCCTCCATAACTCCCTCGGCTGCCACCACCTCCACCACCATAGCCTCCTCTTCCACCAAAGTTTCCACCACGGCCAGAGTTACCTCCACCACCTCCAAAGTTTCCTCCACGACCCATAAAGTTGCCAGATCCACCTCCACGACCTCTTTGTGATCCAGCAGATTGCATCTCTTGTTTAGAAAGGGCCTTTTTCACTTCACAATTATGCCCATTAATATAGTGTGGTATTTCTGAACAACAATTTTATCAACTGTATCATGATCATCAAAAGTTACAAAAGCAAATCCTCTCTTTTTCCCACTCTGCCTGTCTTCCATAACTTCTATGGTTTCAATCTTGCCATACTTTTCAAAGTAGTCTCTCAAATTATATTCTTCTGTATCTTCTTTAATACCACCAACAGAAATTTTCTTCCCTGTTAGATGGGCACCAGGCTTTACAGAATCCTCTCTAGAAGCAGCTCTCATTGGCTCCACTACACGCCCATCACCCTTGTGCGGTCGCGCACACATTGCTGCATCCACTTCTTCAACACAAGAGTGAGTCACAAAGCCAGAGCCCCTGGAACGTTTTGTTTGGGCGTCTCTCATCACCACACAATCTGTAAGCGTGCCCCGTTTCTCAAAATGTTCTCTTAAGCTGTCACCTGTAGTTTCAAAGCTCAGACCACCGATAAACAGCTTTCTCAGCTGCTCTGGTTCCTTGGGGTCATGACCCTCCTCCCCCGGCGGCGGCGGCGGCGGCGGCGGCGGCGGCGGCGGCGGCGGCGGCAACGGCCGGAGTCGGGCTGGGGGCGACCGGGCGGCGGTTTTACCTCCATTTTGGGACCGGACTCGCCTCTCCCAACTCGAGTTCAATATGGGACCGAGAGCCTATATGCTACTTTAACAGAATTGTTTGTTGTTGTTATTCTTCACGCCTTTGTTCAGGCCTCGAATTACTTGTCCATTACTTACTTAAATATTTTTACACAGCGTGAAGTGAGGACACAGCAAGAAGATGATTGTCTGCCCACCCCGAGGGAGCTCTCACCAGAACCTGACACTTGTGGTACCCTGATCTTGGACTTCCAGCTTCCAGAAAGGTGAGAAAATATAATTTGAGTCATGTAATTGAATCACCTAATCTGTGGTATTTTGTCCTGGCAGCCTGATAGTACAGTGGACCCTTGAACAAGTACAGTGTAAGTAAGACAAGTACAGTGGACGCTTGAACATCACGGTCTTGAACTGCACAGATCTACTTATATGTAGATTTTTTTCTACAGTGGATACTGCATTACTGCACCATCCGAGATTGGTTCAATCTGTGATACAGGTCCACGGATAGAGAGGGAACTCAGTTATGGAGGGCCGGACTATAAATTATATACGGATTTTCAATAGTACTACACAATCTAAAGTTTGTTGGTTGAATACAGAAATGCAGAGGAGTTCCAGATATAAAGAGCAGACTATAAATTATCGGCAAATTTTTGCTTGTGGAGGATAGGTGCCCCTAACCCTCATTTTGTTTAGGGATCAACCGTATCTACTATTTGGAATGTTGACGAGCGAAAATTCCTTCATTTTTGATTCTGTGGTCTGGATTGCTAGCTGCTGAGTTTTACCTGAATCTTGGGGTCACCTGATCTTAGCTAATCTCCTTTGCCCAGGGAAATTTCCAGTGTGTCTCAGACTAGGGCTCATTTTTGATCAATAGTTTGAGTATTATGGAAGTTTTCCTGAAAGTGAGATGTGGAAATATAGATGCCTTCTTCCTGTTGAAGGTGTCTATTTGAGTGGATGAATCTAAACTGAAAAATACTGATTATTTCTGCTCACTAGTGGGAAGAATAACAGCTAAAGTGATCATCAAAATGATTGGCATGGCCTGTTATTTCAGCAAGATCATGAGTGAGAGGTACTGTTGAAAGGGAATAAAAGAAGGAATAATACATTAATTATTTTGGGAAAAAGGGGGAAAATTAAGGACTATGGTTGAAATACTATTGTTTTTCTATTTTTAAGAAAATTATGCATTTTCCCACTTCACTCTAGCTTTATAATGTCATTTTATTCAACACAGCATTGCTTCTCCTTGGGAATCATGATGGGAAATTAATCTCAACATTTAATTGCAATGTGTTAGTGTTAACATGCCTTATGAAGGTAGTCAGGAGACAGATCTGTAGGTTTGCTTCTCCACATTCTGATACCATGAGCTAATGGGAACAAGGTTTAGGGGGTCTTAGTGTGCTAATGGGCTTCCTAGGTGGCTCAGTGGGTAAAGAAACTGCCTGAAATGCAGGAGATGCTGGAGATATGAGTTCAATTCCTGGGTCAGGAAGATCCCTGGAGCAGGGCATGGCAACCCACTCCAGGATTCTTGCCTGGAGAATCCCATGGACAGAAGAGCCTGGTGGGCTAGTGTCCATGAGGTCACACAAAGAGTTGAACATGACTGCACGACTAAGCACAGTGGTTTTCTAGTGTTCACATGACCCTGGGAGCTTGTTTGGTTTCAGATTTCCAGAACAATTTCTGGGATACGGGTTCAGAAGGTCTAGGGTGGGGATAAGTATGTACATTTTTAAATAAGCATCTTTGGTAATTCTGATGTAGATGGTCTAAAGATTACATGGCTTCTAAGGTATACCAAGTTAACCTTTTAAAGCCTATTTCCTGTTCAGAAGAAAGTTCTGATCTGCCTATGGCCACTTGAGGCGACATTTAGAGATGCCAGTTTATTTGTATGATTGAATTCATCTGGGTGCTAGTTAATTGAATTGACCCTTGAATGTCTATTCCGGGTGCTTCAGGCTAGGACCATCACCAACTCCCCCCGCCCCCTCCAAAAAAGGAAGAAGACAATGACTCTGAGAGAAAGAAGTGTTATTTAGCTTAAAGGAATGTAACCAGGAATGGAATGCCAGACATCAAGTGTTGGAAAGTTTTGAGTGTAACCTCCCCAGGGTCCTTCACACTGTGTCCCACATAGGCGTGAGGGGTACGGGTAGCTCCGAGGGTGGAACTGAAAGTTCCAACCCCTTATTCACCCCTCCTCCCGCTCACCTGATTGCTTCTCTTGGAATTGTGCTTTCTGAAAGTCACCTTTTTTTTTTTTTTTTTTTTTCTTTAAAAACTAGTAAACTCAGTTGTGGTTGAACGGGACTTGTTATGAATGAGAAAAAGGATTTTTTTTCCTTTTCGCCTCTAATGCTCTTATCACTTAGGACACTGTTAGTACAAAGGAGAGAAGAACTGGCCAGACTGGTAGGTGGAGATTGGAATAAGCAAGGATATTGACAAACGAGGCTTGTCTTCCACTGTTGCAAGAGGGTTAGATCTCTGCACCAGAGGTCTTAAAAGTTTATGTAGAGGACTTAACTGTTCATTCGTATATGCTGGGCCAACGATCTCAACACCATGGGGCTCTCTCAAAGGTTGCATGCTTGAAAACAGTTCCAGCTGCGGGAATGGTGCGCAGTATGTACATGCCATGGACGGGGGATGGGGTGAGGGGGGTGATGAGCCTCCAGTTGCCCGGGGCCAATTCAGAAGTCAAGGGGAGGTCATGTCCTCTCAATGACCTCCTCCAACAGAAATTCCGAGGTTTTTAAGAACTCTTCCTCCCAGGACTGGGAGAAAGAACGGGTGTATATATTTCTTACTATAAATCATGACATCACAGTCTGCCTCACATGGACGCCTCTGTCAGTGACTTTGCCTCTAAGTGGGTCTGTCCTTAAGGTATTGTTGTTCTGGAGACTTTATTTGCTTTTTCGAGTGTGATTATTGTTTGGTCAGAAAACTATAGCTTTTACTTTAGATAATTGACTTTAGAGGGGTTTGTTGCATTGTTAAATGTTACTTTTATCTAGACTTAGGGCTAAAATATTGCCTGTGGGGAACATATCTTTGGCTTGGTAATGGAACTTAATGGGAAAAATACATTTTGATTAAAAGAAAATTGCTTTATAGTCAGTTTTTAAACAAGAATTGGAACAATTGCATTAGATGAGATAGCCCAGTATACCTACTCTCCAAATGTTATTTACTTTTTGTAGTATGGCTATTTTCAGTGTTCTCTTTACCTTCTTAGCTTTGCCTCCTCCAATCAGATTGTTAGGGTCTGATTTCCTAATTAGGCAATATCTAAGTCAGATAACATGAAGGATACAAAACTCCAATATTTTGACCACCTGATCTGAAAAGTTGACTCATTAGAAAAGACCCTGATACTGGGGGAAATTGAGGGCAGAAGGAGAAGGGGGTGGCAGAGGATGAATTGGTTGGATGGCATCACCGACTCAATGGACGTGAGCCTGAGCAAACTCTGGGAGATGGGGAGGACAGGGAAGCCTGGTGTGCTGCCGTCCATGGGGTTGCAAAGAGTCGGACATGACTGAGTGACTGAACAGCAAACATTTTGGAAACAGTAGTACTATAAAATGTAAGATACTGTTAATTTTATGGAGTCTTCTTCCTCTTTTGTGCTATGCCTAGATCCTTGAGAGAATTGGTCTGAAAGATAGTCTAATTGTATACTATTCTGTGTGCTCACAGATCCCCACCCAGAATCTCTGCCTTCTACCCCGCAGCTTGAGGTAAACAAACTAGAATGTATTGTTAAGTTTCCCTTTATCTGTCTTCTATAAATTCAAGATCAAGTGGTGGAGCTGGAAGTGGAGAGGAGATCTGTAGTTGTGTAGTCGCTCAGTCATGTCCGACTCTTTTGCAACTCCTTGGACTGCAGCCCACCAGGCTCCACTATCCATGGAATTTTCCAGGCAAGAATACTGGGGTGGATTGCCATTTCCTCTTCCATGACCCAGGGATCTTCATGACCCATGAATCTAATCCGCATCTCCTGCATTGCAAGTGGATTCTTTACCACTGAGCCACCAGGGAAGCCTGGAGAG